AGGCTACGATTCACGGTGAAATAGCTCCCATCTTTTTCCCATTAACACTGAAAAATAGATTTTACTGTATAGTACCCAGAATAGTAACCATGGAGGAATAAAGGATACAAAACAAGAGACATCATTATTTTGCATTGTTTTTTTAGTTTCCCACCCTCTCCCCTTCTCATTATACTCCCTCCCTACCCACTTGTTTTAGCTAGGTTGATTTTTTATAGTATTTATATTATTAGAATGTATACAGTTTTATCTTTTAATATTGTAAGCTGCCCAGAGTTACCATGTGGCAAGAAGGAAAGCTAATAAATTTTACAAATAAAATAATACAATGCATAAAATTGATGTTTTGTGATAGACTTGGTGTTTTTTCAGTTTTTTTTTTCAAAGACCAGCAGGGAATAACAGAATAACAGAGTTGGAAGGGACCTTGGAGGTCTTCTAGTCCAACCCCTGCTCAGGCAGGAAACCCTATGCCATTTCAGACAAGCAGTTGTCCAATCTCTTCTTAAAAACCTCCAGTGTTGGCGCACCCACAACTTCTGGAGGCAGGTCGTTCCACTGGTTAATTGTTCTAACTGTCAGGAAATTTCTCCTTAGTTCTAGGTTGCTTCTCTCCTTGATTAGTTTCCATCCGTTGCTTCTTGTCCTGCCTTCAGGCGCTTTGGAAAATAGCTTGACTCCCTTTTTTGTGGCAGCCCCTGAGATATTGGAAGACTGCTATCATGTCCCCCCTCGTCCTTCTCTTCATTAAACTAGACATACCCAATTCCAGCAACCATTCTTTATATGTTTTAGGGAGGAAGGGTGTGTGCGCTTCCTTTTACAAATGCTGTAGGGATGCTACATTAAAAAAAGATCCTACAGTCCTTTGAAAAGTTCAACAGTGTCTGCCATGTTTACAGCATGGAGAGGAATATTGGGTCAAAGAAGAGACTACGAGAGGTCACGTCACAGTAACAGTTCAAGGAAGTCCTTATCTACGTGGGAAAATGTCTGAACACAGTGGGGGTAGCTGGGGTCAGTTTACTATTTCTGTTGGATGGATACCTTAAGAGGAGCTGGAAACAAAGCTAGCATAGAAATTATGAGACTGATCTGGGAACAGCTAGCCTCCTAGGAGAAAATGCACAGTAAGATGCCAGACAATTGGCAGTTTCTCCGCAACCACCGAAGGCAGCCAAAGAAAGCAACCTGAAGGGTCAAAATCCAAATTTTCAGAGCATCTAGTTCTAACTGTAAGATTTGTGCAGGCATCCCCCAGCTCACTTCTGCTCACTTGTCTAGATCATTGGATTTGGTCTCGTAGCTTTTGAGGACCCGGAGAACTTGGACATCTTGGCTCAGGAAGCAAGGCGGAAGAAGACCGTGTATTCCAAGCTGGAGCCTCTCTTCAAGGGTGAAGGCCATACCCTGGAAGGAATGGAAGAGAGGAGGGTGTGTGTTAAAACAATGGGACAGAACCGCTCCCTTAAAAGAAAAAAAAAAGTATTGCAGGTAGTCCTCAACTTACGGCCAAAATTGATTGCAAAATGTATGAGGTTAAGCGAGACAGTTGTTAAGCGGGTTTTGCCCCATTTTATGACCTTTCTTGCCACAGTGGTGAAGTGCATCACTGCAGTTGTTAAGTTAGTAACGTGGTTGTTAAGTGAATCTGGCTCCCCCATTGACTTTGCCTGCCGGAAGGTCACAAAAGGAGATTACATGACCCAGGGATACGGCAATCGGCATAAATGTGAGTCAGTTCCAAGCATCTGAATTTTAATAACAACAACAACAACAATAATAATAAAATAATAATAAAAAGTTGGAAGGGATCTTGGAGGTCATCTAGTCCAAACCCCTGCTCATGCAAGAAACCCTACACCATTTCACATAAATGGCTGTCCAGTCTCTTCTTAAAAACTTCCAGTGTTGGAGCATTCACCGCTTCTGGAGGCAGGTTGTTCCACTGGTTAATCGTTCTAACTGTCAGGAAGTTTCTCCTAAGTTCTAGGTTGCTTCTCTCCTTGATTAGTTTCCATCTGTTGCTTCTTGTCCTGCCTTCAGGTGCTTTGGAGAATCAAATGACCATGGGGATGCTGCAACGGTCATGTGATAAGTCACTTTTTTCAGTGCCATTGTAACTTCGAACAGTCACTAAACGAATGGTTGTAAGTTGAGGACTACCTGTATTAATTTTCTAATCGGTAAACTCTTCCAAAGAAAGAGATGTTGTAAAAAACAATAGCTTAATGAGTGCAATTGGTCTCACCTTCCAAGTTAACTTTAAACTTGCAGTTGTGTAGAAGATCAGTTTAAAGCAAAGTAGCTGAACACAGACCAACAATGAGTTACGGTTCACTAGATAATATACAGCCTAGGACAGTGATGGCGAACCTTTTAGAGACCGAGTGCCCAAACTGCAACCCAAAACCCACTTATTTATCGCCGTGGCCCACTGGGGTAGTGGTCATGGCAGACTGGGTGTATGTGGCCAAGTGGGCATGGTCACCTCGATGTTGCTCGTGGAGAGGGATGCCTGTGGGGGCCGGGCAGGGTTGGGGGAGATCCAGGGGGTCTCTGGCAGGTGGGGCGGTGGGCAGGAGGCTCGTTCTGCGGGGTGAGGCAAGGCGAGGCAGGGCAGGGGTGCCATTGCCGCAGGGCAAGGCGAGGCAGGGATCGTGGCGGCTACTACCTGACACCATCGGCCCCCACACACAGAGGCCAGTGAGTGCATGGGGGCTGATGGTGTCCGTCAGCAGCCACAGCCTGCCGTCCCCTCAACTGGCGCACTCTGGGGCTCCGCAGCCCGCCGCCAGCAGTTCAGAGAAGCCGCCTCTGAGCTGGACGGCTGGCCGACAGCTGAGGAGGCGAATGCAGTGGGTCGTGCCCGGGAAAAGGGGAGCATGCGAGGCCAGGAGGGATGGGACGGGAGGGGAGGGAAACCAGCCATGCCGGGATGCATCCGGCCACGTGGGACCTCGGTGAGTTAGTGGGCGGCTGGTTGAAGAGGGACGGTTGCCATCTTCGGGGCATGGCGCACGTGCCCACAGAGAGGGCTCTGAGTGTCGCCTCTGGCACGCGTGCCATAGGTTCGCCACCACTGGTCTAGGAAGATGTGATTTAAGCAATCCACCAACTTGGTGTAGCAAACATACAGCACAGAATGCAGGAGCATTGGTAGAATGGTATCTTATATTAATTAGTCCCAGGACTCTCTGTTGAAAACTCCTGGTAAAACCCAGTGCTGCTTCTACAATAAATTTAGATTGTTAAAAAGACTCAATCTTGGTGACTGATTCTGAGTCAATGCTATTTTAAATGCCTTTAATCCAAAACTGTGCTCCTTGTGGCAGGCAATGTGTTTTTCAAATTGACGTGAATCTTGCCAAGAGGTCATTTGGTCCATTATTTATTTCACTTATTTATTTTATTTATTTTTATCCTGCCTTTTATTATTTTTACAAATAACTCAAGGTGGTGAACATATCCAACACACCTTCCTCCTCCTATTTTCCACGCAACAACAACCTTGTGGGGTGGGTTGGGCTGAGGGAGAGGGACTGGGTCAAAGATCACCTTAGGTGGCTTTCATGCCTAAGGCGGGACTAGAACTCACCGTCTCCTGGTGATTGGCCCAAAGTCAGCCAGCTGGCTTTCATGCCTAAGGCGGAACTAGAACTCACTGTCTCCTGGTGATTGGCCCAAAGTCAGTCAGCTGGCTTTTATGCCTAAGGCGGAACTAGAACTCACCATCTCCTAGTGATTGGCCCAAAGTCACCCAGCTGGCTTTGATGCCTAAGGCGGAACTAGAACGCATTGTCTCCTGGTGATTGGCCCAAAGTCACCCAGCTGACTTTGATGCCGAAGGCGGGACTAGAACGCACCGTCTCCTGGTGATTGGCCCAAAGTCACCCAGCTGGCTTTGATGCCTAAGGCGGGACTAGAACGCACCGTCTCCTGGTGATTGGCCCAAAGTCACCCAGCTGGCTTTGATGCCTAAGGCGGGACTAGAACGCACCGTCTCCTGGTGATTGGCCCAAAGTCACCCAGCTGGCTTTGATGCCTAAGGCGGGACTAGAACGCATCGTCTCCTGGTGATTGGCCCAAAGTCACCCAGCTGGCTTTCATGCCTGAGATAGGACTTGAACTCACAGTCTCCTGCTTTCTAGCCTGGTGCCTTAAGCACTAGACCAAACTGCTCTCTTTCACAGTGAGATGCATCTGGAAACACTAAAATTGAAGTCCCACTCAGAGTTTCCCTCTCTGTGTATTGATCTCATCCTTAATTTAAAAGGCTAAAAGTGCCATCATTAAACAAAGGATTGTGAGTAAGTTATGACGGTGAAGGGAATTGTGCAGTAAATCTGGGATCAAAAATGTGGAAAAGGAAATCTGGACTGTGCATAGCTGCCCACCTCACATCCATTGGCATATCTTTAGACCAAATGTGCCAGTTTTTGTGCACTACGCAATTGTGCAAGCATGGGAAAAGCTATACTTACTGTAAAGATGTCAATATCCAATCCCAAGCATACTTTATTCTTGGAATTTGGATTACTGCACAGTTCCAGGGGTAATAAAATTAGAAATGAGAGAAACTGAGAAAATGTACGTATTGTGCTTCTAAGTTAATAGCAAGGATTTTTTAAAAAGACATGGAAAATTATTCCAAGGAACAGAAAGGAAAGCCAAGCCTGAATAAAAAAATATTTTTGTCCAACTCACCCCAATATATCTTCTCATGCTATTTAAGATAGTTGAATTTGTTTGCTGTTATGTAGGGGCCATGAGTCATGCATCCTATCCTCCCATGGCGACTCTCAAAATGGGATGTTTTATATAATGTGCGTGTTTCATTTTTTGGATTCTCCCGATTGCAATAATTAAATGAAAACAATATTATTTTTGGCAGGAATGTCCCTAATCCGCTCTGTTTAGTCACTGCAATGGCTCTGAGAAAGACTTTGTGTCAACGAAATCTGCCAGGAAAGCAATTTCCTTCTTCCAGAGACAAGGAAATGCAAAAAGTTACTGAAGATGGCAATATTTTTTTTTTTGCCAAATATAGCAAAAGGTAAGCCAAGAATTCTAGAGTACAATCATTAACATGTATTTGTTTAAAAGGTTCTTCAGAAATGCGCAGCATTTGATAAGTCAGCCAAACCGCCCTAGGCTAGGAAAGTCTGCAGGATTTTTGTAATTCACTCCAGAACCTTAACATAGGTAGTCCTCGACTTACCATCACAATTGAGCCGAAAATTTCCGTTGCTAAGCAAGGCAGAAGTTATGCCCCATTTTACGACCTTTTGGCTGCAGTTGTTAAGCGAATAGCTGCAGTTGCTAATAAATCACGTGGTCGTTAAACCAATCTGGCTCCCCCTGCATTGACTGCTTGTCAGAAGCCAGCTGGGAAGCTTACAAACGGTGATCACAGTGCATATTTCATACTTACAACCATTGCAGCATTCCCGTGATCACATGATCCAAATACAGTGGTGCGATTCAGCCGGTTTGCACCGGTAACTAAATTTTGCTGAGTTCAGAGAACCAGCTTAATGCATAGTGCTTCCGGAAGTCTAGTCTAGGCCTCGGAGGTCTGGAAGAGGCCTCCCAGGCCTAGAACGACCCGCCGGAAGTACATGGATACCACTTCCGGAAGTCTAGTCTAGGCCTCGGAAGTCTGGAGGAGGCCTCCCAGACCTAGAATGGCCCGCTGGAAGTGCATGGATACCACTTCCGGAAGTCCGTTCTAGGCCTCGGACGCCCAGGCCTGCATCCAATGAGAGAATTGGTTCTTCAGGTATTTGAATCCCACCACTGTCCAAATATACCCTTTCCGGGATAATGCAAGTGTCATAAATACATGCCAGTTGCGGAGTGCCCATACTTTGATCATGTGACCACAGGAATGCTGCAATGGTCATAAGTGGTGAGAACCGGTCCTAAGTCATCATTTTACGACCTTTCTTGCCCACAGTTGTTAAGGGAATCGCTGCAGTTGTTAACCTAGTGACACAATTGTTAAGGGAATCTGTCTTCCCTGTGGACTTTGCTGGTCAGAGGGTCACAAACGAGGATCCCATGAACCCCCCCTCCCAGGACACTGCAACTGTCCTAAAGACATGCCAGTTGCCAAGTGTCCGAATCTTGACCACGTGAACATGGGATACTGCAATGGTCGTAAGCGGGGAAAAGGGTCATGTCACTTTTTTGCAGTGCCATTGTTAAGTTCGAGCGGTCACTAAACAAATGGTTGTTAAGTCGAGGACTGCTTGTAAAACCTCTGTGCTGACTTACACAATTAGAAAAGGTGACATCTTGGACCACCGGTCATTCATGTCCCTCATAAAGATCCAGGACTTTACCTGGATTTACCATCCTTCAACTTTCGGACCGCTGTCTAGCTCAGAGGTCCCCAACCTTTTGGG